AGCACTTCCGCAAGAAATCACCAAAATAAAGCTATAACATACAATGTCACAATAGTAATCATAGAAACTTTGATTCAAATTTAACAATAAACGATATACATTACATGTACGAACAAACTTGCAGCCATATCTGTCAGCATGACACTCCCCGTGTATGATGTGTGAGTCAATGGTAGTGAGTGTATGATGTGTGAGTCAGCGTATGATAAGTGAGTCAGTGTATGATGTGTGAGTCAGTTGTAGTGTGAGTGAGTGTATGATGTGTGATAGAGTCAGCGTATTATAAGTGAGTGTATGATTAGTGAATCATTGTATGATGAGTGAATGGGTCAGTGGTTGTGTGAGTGTATGATGTGTGAGTGAGTCAGTGTAAGATGAGTGAGTGTATCACGGCCTCCTCCCCGCCATCGCGACCTCCTCCCCGTCATTGTGGCCTCCTCCACGCCATCACGGCCTCCTTCGACACTTCACGTGGCCTCAAAGTGCACCTGGCCTGGCAGAGGCGCCGTGGTGACGTCACCGTCACTTCGTGGCGAATGGCAGGGGTATTGATATTGGACTTCAGCTGTCGAGTCAAAGTGATTTCCTTCCTGCTCAAATGAGCATTGAGATAGCACTGGGATACTGCACGAATAACCAATTTGGAGGCTGCCCTACGCACCACGGGGCTCTGATGGGAATTATAATTCTACCAAACTGCTATGAGCAGCACACGGCCGCTGCGGCAAATACACTTGCGTAACAGTGGTGACCCCTTGCCCAATGATTACAAGCGAGTGGACCGGACGCGGTGGACAGGTCATCTGGAACATGTTAAGCTCAGCTCGGTTCGGAAGGTATTTGGCCAAAGTGGAGATCACTGCACTGGTTTTCCTTCACGGTGCCTTTTTTGCCCGCCGTTCACCCGTGTCTTGGACGTTTGACCTCTCTGGGAGTCTGGACTGTGCACCTCTCTTGCCGTGCGTTGCAGCCTTCACGAACGTCAACATTCCACGTAGCCGTGGCTTCACACTTCCACGGAATTGATGCGCGGACAGCGACAGATGGTTTGACCTTTAGCTTTTGACGTTTCTACCGGTCCCGTAACAAAGGGCCCTTCAGCATAACAGTAATCAATTAAAAACTTAACTATTTTTTGTTTTTACCAGGGAAGGCCCACTGAGCTGTATAGCTCTTTTTTTAGAAGCGACCTGGGCCACAAATGATAGCTCAACAAAGTGGCTAATCACGTGGCTAATCAAGTGGCTAATCACGTGGAATTGTATAGCAGCCAAACGCTCTAAACGCGTCTCAATTCTAAATGTGGAGGGAAAAACCGGAGGACCCGAAAAAAAATCCAAGCGACCACAGAGAGAACATGCGAAACTCCAAATATACAGCAGGCGTCAGAGTCGGGATCGAACTCTCGACCTCCTGCACACCAGACGAGGGAATTAACATCTCGCCACCTCGATGTTATAATAATAGTGATCATAATAGCAATAGTGATCAGAATAACAATCCACCCAGCACCTCCTGCACACATCATGGTTTCTCTTTCGAGGTCGACCTCCCAAGGGGACGAGTTCCCTCAGCTGCCACCCTCTGTCGTTATTCTCGACCATCGGTGCGTCATCCCCTCCAGCGACGTGGCCTGCTAATAACCCTCGCCGCGGTCATCGTCCATCGAGCGCCTGCACGTGAGCGGTTTTCATCGCTCCGTCTCCGCGATGGTTGACCTCTCGAAAGCGCTCCGCTCCCTGGGTGGCCACTCCCACCGTTCTTCGCCGACCGTGGGTCACCGTCCTCTTGTTAGCGACGTGTCCTGCCAGCGATCGAGACAAAGACAAAAAAACACAAAGAACTCCAAGCATGCGGAATATTCCGGCGTGTAATCCTGACCGACTCCCCATGCCGCTTGCCGATGTTCCCTGCCCGAGCCTCACTTCTCCAAAAACCCTCTTGCGAAAACAGCAGTGAATCAAACTTTGACCTTTGACCCCGATTACATTTGCATGCCACCACTGGACACGTGAACCAGTGGACTCGCCCAACGCCGTATCACCAGATCCACCCACGAACAACATAAGCAAATTAAAACAGTTGTTATTTTTTTTGTTTCACCGTGTGGTGTGAGTGGACCGGCAAGGTTTCATTTTTTTGTGTCGAGGTTGGTGGGTGGTCAAGTGGACAGCAACAGGAGTATATTATTAGGTTCCTTTGGCTCCTCGCGCCATTCTTACACCGCAAGGGCTATGGCGAAAGCGCCGTGATTAACGGACATGGTCTGCAGTTGGAAAACCCAGGAGTAGCCTGGTGAATATCAGAAACTTTGCCGACGAATGAGTGAAGCGGGCAGTGCCGTGTGCTACAGTATGTGATCCATGGTTTGAGACGTAGGCTCGAGTGGAGATTCAGACTTACATAGACACCCATAGATTCACATCGCAACCCACAGACAGGTAGCCTTATTTTCACATTGACACCCAGGGATTAGCATGAATACCCAAAGAATTACAGAAACTCGCAGGCTTAAACGCTGGGTGAGCCAGCGGATGGGCTTCTAGAGTAGCCTGACGAATATCTGGAACGTTTGCCGATGAATGATTGAAGCGGTCATTGGGCGTTGCAGCACGGTCCGTGGTTTGGACTCTCCTCAAGCATCCGTCGGTGTAGGAGGAGACAGCCGTGTGTCTGAGCCCCAGCCCCACCGTCTCTGTCTATTTAAGGCGTCGTCACAGAGATGCGGCTTTACTTCTTCACTGTGCGCCTGTCTCTCCCCATATGTCTCTTTACGGTCTGTGTTCCATCACTCTCTTAAATTTCACACTTAACTTACAATTTAGCAATCTTTGAAATAGCGTAATCTACCAGACCATGCGTTAATTGTGTTTTGACCGACCGTCTGTGTTGCTTTATATAGTTTCCAAATTTTGCTAAACCCTGTTTGATTTGGTGTGCTCCGTCTCTCTCTGTGTCCCCTGGTGTGTCTGTGTTAATTCCCTCTACTTAAGGTCTGTATATATCTGCGGTTATGTTTCCTCTCTCTCTGAAATTTAGCTCTTCTGTACCTGATGATGATTGCTTGTGTTGCAATCGAAACGTCGTATGCTATTATACAATTTTATTTTTGTATTATTTCTACGTGACTTTACCGAAAAAAACCAAAGAGCCGTGTGTCTGTCATGCGACGTTCCCGGAGGGACTCGGTGCAGAGTGGTGTTTTTCACGCAAATGAAATCAAGCGGGTGGGCAGAAATAAGGGTCCCCTTTTGTGCGGCAGTGATATTTTTAATCCGAGTTCGTGGCCCCGCCGCCTAATGACGGGAGGCTCAGGAAAAAAAACAAGAGGGCATTAACCCGCTCACACATTGGAACACTCATCCAGGCACTCAAAATAATTAAGCATCACCTTTTACCCAAATAGCTGATGGCGCCTACGCAGTAAACGGTGCCTTTTTACAATTGTGAAGCTTGTTCGCGGTCGTGCTGTACAGATGTCCGATGTGAGCGCCAAGACTCATCGGGACGGTTTGGCAAATTACACTCGTAATTGTTTGGAATAGGAGAGGAAAGTGGGGTACCTGGAGAAAACCCATACACATACGAGGGGATAACGCTCCAAGCTATGCACAGATAGGATTACTTACTGCACTGCCATCTCCTGGTCACATCGGAAGCCAGCGCGTTCGGGAGTTTCACACATTTGTGTGATCCACCAACCCCCGCCTATTAACCAACATGCGCCCCCTTACACAAAGATAAAACCACAACATATACCAGACCAAACAAGGTCGACGCAACAGTAGAAAATGCACTAAAATTGTCTAACGGTGGCGAGATGTTAATTACCGCGCCTGGTATACAGGAGGTCGTGTGTTCGATCACGACACTGACGCCTGCTGTGTATTTGGAGTTTGCGTGTCTCTCTCTCCCCGTGGTGGCGTGGATTTTTCTCCAGGTCCTCCGGTTTTTCCCTCCACATTTAGAATCAACATCACGCGTTTGGAGTATTTGGCTGCTACAATTGTCCACGTGATGATGACCCCACTTCGTTGAGCCATCACGTGTGGTTGGGTCCCTTCTGAAAAAAGAGCTGCACACCTCCGTGGGCCTTACCTCGTAAAATAAAAAAAATAGTATAAAGAAATATTTGAAACTTTCAACAAAAATACAAGAGACATAGTTCCGGGGTCGGTACACATCCGGCTAGTGACCGGCACGTGCACGTATAATCGTAGTGATCCCCAGCTGTGATCTATAAAGTGGGAAAAGGAGAGAAAAAAGGAAAAGGGAGAATGAAAACACGGAGAAAAATGTAAAAAAAATGGGCATGGCGGGGAGAGATGGGGCTATTGTCATATTAGGAATAGATCAACGAGAGGGGATCAAGTCCTCCTGTAGCCACGAGTGATCCCTGCGACATAACCCCAAGTGGTTTAGTTTATTTTGTTTAACGAGGTAAGAGCTCAGAGACCAGGATAGTCTCATTTGCAAGAGTGACCTTGGGTGGGGTTGGTGATGATTGCCAAGTATAATCAGTGTCGCAGTGATGATGATGTCATATGGAGGAATAGGTAAATTTTACAGATTGGCTTTAAATTCTGATAACCAGTCAAGAGCTATGCACGAGTTCATTTCAGAGACGTTTCGGGGCAATGAGTACCGGTGGATAGGTGTTCACGACCAGATGTTCCATAGTTTTGAAGTTATCTATCACACTTGCACTATGAAGTGTCCTTGCGTCTCCATGCAAAACGCCGTCAGCAGCATCCTTGTGGTGTTCTCGTGCGGTTCAAAGAACAAAAAACTGAACAGAACTGCATTTACTCGAAGGATGAAACACATGCAAGGGAAGCTAAATTCGATGATTGAGATTGCGAAATGCCATCAGACGATAGAGTAATGCGCCTCGGACGTTCCGCTATCTGGGCGAAATTGCCTAAGCTCTGGTTGATGCACAACATACAAAACATATTTTTACATAAAACAAGGCAACAAATGGACCGAGACCTCACAGATATTGGACCAGCTTGACATTTATTACAAAAGTATGCACATAAACATTCAAATAACCAACACAAACATGGATGATGTACATGTAAACAAGGCCAAAGTAAAAAAAAACAAGTCATAAATATAACCAAGATTGAATGTAGTTTCACATTTCAATAACAAATAAATGATACTGCGTATGTTTCTGCAATTGTGCTCTATGGATCTCCGACGTTGGGGCCGTACTGCATGCTGTTTGACACGATGACTGACGTTTCGCTCCACGTGCTGGCAACTTCTCCAGGAATTGAATTACTTCGTTGTGACCCCCTCTTCTGAGCTCATCATCTTCATCATCCATTATCTATCCACCGCTGGATGAAGACCTCCCTAAGCAGTCGCCATCTCTCGTGGTCTTGACACTACACCTCTCTGAAAGATGCTGTCAGCACGTGCAGGGAAACATCGGACACAATACCGAACAAAACGCGGTACAACCCGTAAACACGTCGGAAAACACATCAATGACGTTGACCCGATAGTTGCGTTTTTAAAAAGCTGTCACCATGCCCAGTCGATGGCTCGTTTTGGTTAAGCCGCTTAATGAATAAAAGCTGATCCATGTACAGCTTACGTTTATGGTGTGAGCACTGCGAAATTGTGTTGTTTTTCACACGATCTAAAGACCTGCACTTTTCCTCTTACACTCTGAATTCCAGAAACACTAATCTTAGTTTTCCATAAAAGTAGGATATCGGTAAAACAAAGCAAAAAATACACACATTCAATTACACAAACAAGCAGAACTGCGATTTCACGGTCGCTTGGAGGACAGCAGGCCTTTTGCCGGACCTCCTGGGAACAGGTTGTGTATTTACGGTCCTAAACCAGGCATCAGTCATTAATGTGGCTTCAGAAAGTGCTGGGCGATGGCTGTAATCCCTGTCATCACGGCTATCCCACTGGATGGGTGGCCGCTAATTAATAGCGAGCAAAAAGTCTTGAGTGCAGACAGTCACGTAGGCTATGTATCAACAGCTGTGAACACTGCATTTGTTGTACTGTTTGACGACAAAATATAATTGTTTCATAAAATACAAACGCATTGACGCAGCTGAATTCTTCGTCTAAAGCTGCTTAACTAAGACTTTGCATGTGTACGCATTCCAAGGAAGCTTTGTATAAATGTAATATTCCATAATGCTGTTATATTGCATAATTACTGGAATAAAATAATGCAAATGTTGACAAGGTACGCTGCCGGTAAAATATTTTAGTTTATACCATCGTGGCGTCATCGGGTTTTTAAATAGGTTTAAAAAAAAATCAAACAAAGGCTTTGTTGTTCATGGTAGGCCACTGCGGTTCAGCTTTTACCTCCTCTGCCACTACTTTGTCCCGTTTCATGCGGGACCGGTCGCCAATTAACGATGACAAACGCAGACGGTATCTCGCAGGACGAGAGTAAACACAACTGCTCTCCGACCCGCGAGGTACGCCTGTGCCGTCAGGTGTTTGTCGCACGGGGTTGTGTGGTGGTGGTGGCCTTTTTGTGCCGGTGTTCGTGACGGCCGTGGTGGCGGTGGCGGAGGGGGGGAGGTCGGAGCACGTGGGGTGGCTCGATGCTTAGCATTCACCAGCAATGCCCTAACGAGAGATCAAACAGAGAAGACGGAGCAATTTACGGACGTGGCCACTGCACAAATAACAGGTCAATAGAAGGCGAACACCACGGGGCATCTCATTCATTGCGCATTCGTGCATTTATCCACATGTAATCCATGTGCCGAGGTCAAAATGTGTACCTATACTAGTTTATATATATTCGTGCATTACGTACGCAACAATGCATGTCAAATTTATAATCATTTACAGCCCTTTCTCAACCCATTGCTGGTTGAAAGCTCTCCCCCCCCCCAACTCACCCCATGAAGTGTCAGTCGTGCAGGTTGTCTTACCATACTTCATTACACCGGTCAGCACAGGTTCAGACATCACTCACCACTGATGTCAGCCATGGTCGGGCATGAGGGCCAGGTGGTGCATTGCACTAATCGCCGCACCACCATGCCACGCCACAAAATGTAATTCTTTTAGTTGGCAGATACGTCATCATAACACCATAATTTAATTGAACTGCCATATGGTTGCAATTAAGATACGTGCGCTCACGAGGTACGGACAAAATGAACGCGTGTGGCTCAATGAGATGCTGCGGCGCGTCTGGACAGTCAATGTTGACGATCACCTGGGGCCGTCTTCTAATCACGCCCATTGAGCAGCATGCGCGAGAGCTCCTGGTCCGACATGGCGACGTCGGAGCACAGGCCCATGGCTTGGCTCAGGTGCACGGCGAGCAGGTGTTTGCACTGGAAAGAGGAGCGGGAAGCAACAATGGAAACCCACACGGAGAAACGAGACGGCAATGGTGAAATAAACACGGCATTACCACGGCAGTGAGTACTGCTTCTATTCCTCTATACATCATCATCATCACTGCTGCGATTACAAGCCGCAAAGAATGACAAGCCATCGCAAAGGACCTTGGCTAAGAAGCTTCACCAGTGTAATGTTACAAGTGTTTTCATCTCCAGATCAATTAGTAAACGAATATCCAACCCTTCAATACCTGATTATACAATTATCGCGCCCACCCCCAGGTCACTCTTGCAAATGAGACTATCCTGGTCTCTTGAGCTCTCACCTCATTAAAAAAATAAACCAAACCGCTCGGCGCTCTGTCGCAGGGATCACTAGTGGCTACAGGAGGACTAGATCCCCTCTCGTTCATCTATTCCTGATCCGCCAATACCCCCATCTTCTCCTGCCATGCTATTTTCTTCACTTCTATTATCCTCCGTTATGCGTTTTTTTGGGGGGCTGCGGCGAGTGCTGTTCGTCACAATATCAGACGTTTCGCTCCATGTGCTGCGCGCTTGTGAGTGTCACATCAAACATCCTGCACAAACAACGCATGGTGCGGCCCCGAAAATACATTGGAGAACACAGAATTTATTACTGAACACAAAAAAACTAGTCGGAATGGTAATTGGTCTTGTCGACAGTCCCGACCTTGGTAAATTCCACATTACTGTAGTGGGGGCCAGTCTTCGTATAGGAGGACCACCGATGACTTCCCAATGCCGTGAAATTGACACAGCGGTTGTTAGGAAATCCGTAGATTAAATCTGAAATTGCAGATTTTATCAGATGGAGCCGATGGCGAGGTGGGTCGTAACCTGCCCATATCAGCGTTGGTTTCATTATGCGCGGCATAAGATCGGATCTTTGCAGTGGGAGCGCTCACTTGTGTTCAGTCAGTCTGAGTGGAAATCTGATAAAAGTACGAGTGCCAATTTAGAAATGCGTGCGCTAGTTGTCCACCGCAAAGCATTTCACAGATACCCGTGTGACATTGCCTTCGTGGCGTTCAGCAGCATGGAAGCACATTAAAGTGGATAATACGATAATATGTTATTGCTGCGTGTTTTGCTTCCCATATTCCAAAGAGGGTCTTTTTTTAAATTTGGAAAATCTAAAATGAAGAGTGACATAATGAGTTTGCTGTCACTTAAACAAAAAATGTCACGAGTCTGAAATAAGTACCTGGGGTTGTTTACACAAGAAGATGAGTATATACAAGGCGGGTTATTTAAAGTCTTGGGGAACTCAGACGAGGCTTTCATGGGTGAATGGAGGTCAATTATTATTTTTAAAAGGTAAATACATAACCAAACAAACTTACAGACCCATGACGAGGACCGACAACATAACCAAAACAAAACAATTACCGATAGTTTTATCTCCAGGGTTCAGTAAGAAACGCTGCCGAACTTCCGCTATAATGGCGGGGTTCACAGTTTGACGGAATGAGCAAAGAGCTCACTTTGGTGAGGGCACACCCAGGGGCCGTGTCGCAAGACATAGATAACATGTCGTAATGCCTACTTGTACAGATCGCTGACAGGCCACAGGGGGTATTCTGACACTGCGTAAATATACAGTCCTTTCGAGCGTTAACTTTCAACGAGGACAAGCTGTGTGAATTCTGCTGTTGATTAGCTTTGGCATGGGCGTGGCGGGATGAAAGACCTTGTCCGAGCAGTTTTGCTTCGTGCTGCCGTGGTGTAGTCGAATAAGAAAGTTTACCGGTGCCTCCGCAGCGATTAAAATCTCACACAGTCACGCATTAAAATTTGTGCTCAGCGTCCGTTTACTCTATTGCGAGAGATATTTCAGCCAGGCGGCATGGCAATGCGATTTTGAGTTAAAATTTAACGCTCAGGTGCGAGGTCGTTAAATCTTTGTCCTAATGGAGGTGGGAGGTTATCACGGTGAAAATAAAAAAAAGAGGCTGAGAAGGTAACACGAGAGGGAGGGGCTGGTGTCAAAACAGAAACAAAAAATATCCCAAGTGTGCAGTATGTAGAGTTCGTGAGAATGTGGTAGGATTTAGACAAGTTATAAATCCGACTTGCATTCTATAGCGCGGATGTTGTTATTTAAACGTTACTGTGATCCTACTCCATCTCATGACAATGCCAATAGCGCAATCGAGATTAAGTTAAGGAAACCGACCAAAAACTTAAAAATAAAATGGGCAAAAAAAAACTCAACACATATTTGTATCAAATAAATTACGTGACGCCTGATCAGTAGCCAAAGGACTACATTTTCTAAAGTAATCTGATTTCCGGATTAAATTACCAGTTTTAGTCACCACCATTGAACTGCCACAACCAGACACGTTCGCACGCACAGCACCACACTGCGTGCACTCCGGAACATTTGCAATCTGAAAGACACACATGACTCGCGGGCGGGCGGGCGGGCGGGTGGCTTGTCCCCATTGAAACTCTCTCTGGCAGCTGTTGCAACGTGGGTTCTTTGTGGCTGCTTGTATTATTTCGTGTAATTTGTTCCCCGTCGCATCCGACTATTTGCGCGGCACGTTGATACGCGGTTGCGTTTCGACGGCGTCATTTGTTATCTCGAAAGTAATGCTGCAAAAAAAAGGTATGAATCACCGTTGTCCTACAGGCACTGGTAATTAGATACAAAATATATATTATATATTGCTATGAACCAGGCAAACCCGAGTATGATTCCCAGTCAGGGCTTACGTTATTCTTATCAATTATTGCGGAAAGTAATTTTATGAATGAGCGTTTAGCCACAGCTTACGTATTGACGCCATAAAAATATAAATAGCCGCATGAGGTCACACGCCAATGAACCCCATCGCTAAAATGACCCGTTTTCATTTTATCTTCCAAATCTGTTTGGAAAACGAGTTAATAGCCAGCGTAACCGTTAATGCTATCGTGGACCACACACGAAGCACGTGGGAAGAGGAGGAAGCTGATGTGCTGTGGTTGACAAGCATGGGTGGTGGGCGTGGAAAGAGGATTGATTCAACCTAAAGCCATCGTTGTCCGTCACTCTTTCTTCGGCCAGGTGGCTCAGCGGTTGAGCGAGCGGCTCACAATCGGAAGGCTGCGAGTTTAAATCGTTTTTGGGTGTTGACTCAGCCCATCATCTTTATAGGGGTGATAAATTAAGTACCACTTTCTGGGGAAATCAACAGTGGTTCCCCTTTTAGAGACCTCCCCACCATAGAAATGTGGAATTTCCACACTGGTTCAGTGCTGTAAAAATGAGATAAGCACCAATACCTCAATGCTCGTTTGAGCACTGTGACTTTTGCAATCTTCCAGCAAGGTAACATTTGTGGATTTAGCGACACCGCTGGATGACGGGCAGTCACGGACAGTGCAAAATGTACGCTCGGGATTCAAATCGGCACGGCAATAAATTAGCGCTTAATTGACACTCGGTCGTGGCGCAATTAAATATAAATTTCTGTGGATGCGATATGTTACATGTCAATAAAACAGAACGCGGGGCATGCCTGACTTTCTGGAACTGCAAGCGACTGTCCGAATATTTAAAAACCAATGCGCACTTCATCCTCCCTTGCTTGTATCACACACTCGCACTTACAGCCAAATATGAAGTTACGGTGTTAAAGTTACACTCTCGTATATAATGAGTTTTGTGTAACTGTATATGTGGGTGATCAGCACCTGTAATTAACTACAACTATCTGATGCAAATAAGACTATCCTGGTCTATTCAGTTTCCACCTGGTTAAACAATATAAACGAAACTAAATGTGCTGGAAAAGTCAGTGCCAGAAGAACAATGACCGTGTGCTTTTTACACCATATTTTGCGTCTTGTTCGAAAAGTATAGGTTTCCATCCTGCACTATTATCCTCTTGTGTTGGGTCTTTCTAGCCATTGACAAACTTGCTCATTCCACATGACAGAGCAAGACCACCGAAGGAAAATAGTTTGTCCCCCATTATTTGTACACGCCCACACCAAAGCAGTCTGCGTTTTTGTATCTTTCGCACATAATTACACAGGAATGCACACAACTATTACAGCAATTTGAAGTTATCACCAAAACAGAGCAATAACCGTTATTGCGGAAGTATATTGTACATCATTGGGTCTTTTAAAATAGAGATCGACCTCAGTTTGACAGTCACGATCAGACATATTTTTTGAATAACATGCTATAAAGCGTGCTATAAAATGGCTTTTTCGCATTGCATACAAAACAATATTACAAAAGCGAGTGTGGCTGTGTTCACCGTTACTCGCACGTGATAGCACAATCTATGGAAAACGCCTCCTGAAATTAACGGAGCCAAGTTGTCAGGTGTCGCACCAAAATATCACCTTTCTTCCCCTCCCCGCACCACCGAGCTCATTGAATGTGACCCGCTAGAACTAATCTGTAACATTAAACCTGCCTTCTGCCGAACGTTTTCTGCACACCGCTGTGTAAAAAAAAAACAATAATAGAGAACAACAACCTTTCCGTGGCCCTCGGTGGTTTCGGTGGGAGCTGGCTGCTGGGGATTTACGAGCGCTTTTGGGGGGAAGGTCAGCACAAAGGTCCTGCCTAGGAAGCGGCGCAGTTGGGTCGCTTCTTGTTGCCGTCTCAGAACGAACCAACGGAAAAAGCTATGACGCATCTACCACGGCAAACAACAAAAATTGCTGGCGTTTCTAAAGTCAATAACCGCCACCCCTCCCCCGCCGCCCCCCCCCCCCCCGTTAAATGTCAGTCTCTCCCAGGCGTGGTGCGGACATCAGGAGGGGACGAGCGGGCAAGCGAAGGCAATCCCCGGCCCTGAGTCTGCCGTGCGGTAACCGCATGTCGCTCATTTTTCCTCACCGATCAATGGCCTGCGCGCCTCCTTCAGCATTTACGCTAAGCCCTGACCGTAAATGAGAGGGACAGAGACACTGATAGATAAGGCCAGTTGCGAGGCCACGGAACGATCGAGCGACGC